GATAGCTTCTCTCTGAGACTTGTTGTAGCACTCTCGGATAGTACCCGGTTTGAAGACTAAGTAGTACTCGGTTTGGATAGTACTCGGTTCCAAGACAGAGTAGTACTCGGTTTGTTCGCTGCTTGTTTGATGATTTAATAAAACTTACACACGACAACAGCCGTGCCGCTCTCCAAGCGGGTTGATTTCTGATCATCACTGTCCCGTTGCAGATTTGAGATAAGATTTGTAGTCGAATTCTGACTTGATGCAACCGAGTTCTTCGCGGACTCATCAATCCGATGCGCTTTCCGATGAATCGTTGTGTAGTTGACGGCGAGGGCTGAAGCCATTTCCTGTTGACGTTTTGAAGGTTGGAGCTGGGAGTTCAGAGGTTACCGCACCGGGTTGTTTGATAGAGGGAACTGACAACTCTTCTACGAACACTTTAGGTGGGACCTTTGCCCTGTCCGATCCGAGCTTTGCAAGGATGTCTGCTGCAACTTTTGAGTCTTTCTAGGTATTGAAATTGTTGCTTGAGCTTGCGTTCTTCGGCGCGATAAGCGTCCATGTTATCTTCGTCGAGGTATTCGAAATTCGTCCCCGGCTGGTGCGTTGAGGCACTCGGGATTCGTCTCTGACTGGTGCTTCAGGTGCAATTAGTAGTCGAAGTAGTTTATTGAGGATCTCGGCGAACTAGCTGAGTTGTCGCCATGGCCGTTGCTGACGGTTTGATGTGGTACTCAGATGAGTATTCAGATGTTTTGATGGCTCCAGAATTTTGCAGAGTAGTTGATCTTGCGTGAAGGAGAGTCGGTACTTGTGGACGGTCGCCTGTACGTACGTGTATCTCATTGATAGAGTGTTGTACGTGAAAGCTCCAATAATTATCTGGCTTGCGTCATCTTCATGGTGCTTTAGTTGTACAGCTCCAAGGCTTGTAATATTAGTATGCTTGAAAGATGCGTACGTGCTCATGCCCACGCAAATATCTTAGTTGACTTCCATGTAGATGTACGCCCTCCTGTTGGCTTGTATGTATCTTGGCTCTGTATGAGTATAGGATCCTCTCGTCGTTCGTGCTGGTCATTTGTTAGCTTGTTCTCTCGATTCGGCTCGACGCAGTTGAATGCTCCATGAGGACGTATCGGGTTCAGGAGCCCGGCTGGAATCCTGTCCGCCGGGTGCTGATCCGAGTAGTAGTCAACAATCACCATGTCTGAGTTGCTACGGAGCCTGATCGAGTCGGATTCTGAAACCTTATAGATGCAGGCCACATGTATATGACATACACGCAAGTTTATTTGCTTCCATGGGCCAGTCATGCATGGCTTTTGTTTCTTGGCAGTGCGTGTGCACACATGCATGATATTGCATGGTCTTGTAGATTTGTGCGTACGCGGATCTCTTGTTTGCTTGTTATTGATTAGCGAAGTTCGTGGCAGTAGCAGCCGAAGCCGAGCTTCAGGGACTCTCGTATGGGCCGCTCGATGTGCCGCAGAGGCTTCGGCGAGCCGCTGCTCGCTAGGGTCGCTGCATGACTTGGTACATCATGATGTGTCTGTCACCGGAAACTGGCTTCATGACGTTGATTCTCGTTGCAGGTAGCCAAAAGACATCATCGTGACGTCCCATCGTAGACCGCCGTCGTGTGAATTCGAGTTGTTGTAGATGAATCTTGATCTTGAGGTCCACCGGTAAGTTGATCGGTGGTAGTGACCGAAATAGAAAACTCTTCATGGTGAACCGAATTTTCGAGGAGACGGCTCTAGAGCTTGCCATCGTCGCCTGCCTCGCAGATCCATGAACCGAAGATGAAGGTTGATCCCATCGAGAAGTTCATGTTGTCAAGGTCCGTCGAGCTCTCGGATGCAAATTCGCCGAAAGCCCCTACCTGGCGCGCCAGCTGTCGATGTTTTACCACCGGCAACCCGTCACGGGGTACCCAGGAAGCTGTCGATGTTTTAACACCGGCAACCCGTCACGGGGTACCCAGGACGGTGATTTGTTCGGAGGGGTATCGGCGTTTGCAGGAACTCGATGGTAAACGCAGGGAGACAATGATTTATACTGGTTCGGCACGCCGGAAAAATCACGGCGCCCTACGTCCAGTGTCAAGTAGATAGTATGTTGCGCCCTGCGCTATGTCGTCCTCTTGATCTCTATCGAGATCTAGAGGTTTCTGTTATGTGTCAATCGGTATTGTCTCTCTCGATCTAGGGACCCCTGCCCTCCTTTATATAGTCCAGGAGAGGCGGGAGTCCTAGTCGGTTACAAAGTAGAGATCCTAATAGGATTATACGTAACTAGTCCTAATAGGATTACATGTAGGGAATCCTAGTTGGACTAGGTCTTCTTCTCTCTTCTCTGTGTGGAACCCTATGGGTCCCGCATCGACACACACCAAGTTTTTATCAAAAGTTTAATTGATTTTATTTCACCACATAAAATCAAGAAGATGCAACTCACAAGTTGTTTAAAATGCAAATGCTCAAACATGCTATCTTGGGTTCTACTTGTGCAACTACAAGGATGGTTCCCTAGTATGCGCACTCACCATGCATGGGTTTGTTTTAGAAAAAAAAAACTAAGTTGTGATTTTTGGTTGTCTCAAAACCTGGGTCGTTACACCAACTTGATAGGCCGGCGCAGATACGTAGCACCATCTGCTCGTTCAAACGGGCATGAGGCGCTGTCGGCCACTCCCTCTGCAGGGCCACACAACGTACGGGCGTGATGCATTCAGACAAGGAGTTCCCCAAGATCCAAGGGCAGAGGGCTTCAGGCCCACTTGTTAGCCCCTCTGGGCAGGGGAGGCTCCTTGCGCTCCAAGGAAGCCTCGAGAAGGCTCACCTGGGGGAGGCCGCACAGCGACAGTTAGCCCTTGGCGGTCAAGCGCCAGGCTATGGCAACAGCGTCAGGGAGTGGTTGTGCCGTTGTTGGCCTCCTCCTACACGACAAAGAAACACCAGACGACGCCGAGCACCCGGCGTAGAAGCTTTATGCCAGAACCGAAACCGACTTGTAACCATGCCCTCCCCAGGACATAAGGGGAAGCATGGGCTCATTAGAAGGGGATCAGGTCCTTGACCGCTCAAACAGACTTGAAAACCAAGAACCCTAGGATAGCACCGTGCAATCCCCTACTAGTCTCTCTCGATTCCTCTGTTGTAATCCCCTGATTGGACATTTCTAAAATGAAGAACACTATACTGTTGGACGTAGGGCTCAGAAGCTCGAACCAGGATAATCCGATCTATGTCCCTTCCGTGTTTTGAGTGTCGGAGCCTCCGGATACCCAGACACCGACCTCCGATGAACAAACCCGATGCTTGCCGCAGTTCTGAACCCGTGACATCATGTCTATACAAGAACCAAGACATGAAGAGATGTGATAGGTAGATGGATAGAGAAGACATGTAATTGACTAAAAAATTGTTCTATAGAAACTATTCGTTGGGAACATAGCTTTTATATGTAGTGTCTAAATAAATTAATAGGTATAGAATTTTTTTTAGCATTGGAACTTCCCTTAGTGATCTCTCTAAACCTGACAAGTCAAGGTGGGCACGCTGGATTGGCGGCATAAGGAATAGATGGCGTGGTTTCAAACCTGGTTAAGTTTAACAATCGATGTTACCAAGGCGCAGATGATCTATAAGTTCGTGGATGGCCTGAGATCAAAAGTATACTGCCAACAAAAAATTCTTTCATATCTAAAAAAAATCTATGTATCTTTGTAGTTTAGATTAGATATATAGCACACCACATGTATGCGACCCTCTTTTGTGTCGTAGTATGGGTAAAACGTCGTATTTTTCCCATTCTTCTATCAAAACTACAATACTAATACTTTTACACCGTTGCCATGCGAACGAGCTGATAGCTCGATGGTTAGGATGCTATCGTGGGAAGTAGCTGGTAAGGAGTTTGACTCCACGCCTCGTATGGTGCCTTCTATCTTAAACAGGATGCTTGGGAGCTATCATACCTACACGGGTCTAGTTTTTTTTACACCAAGATCCATCACTTATTGTATAATATCTTTTTTACTACTATGTGACATCTAATCCCATCACTTATTATGTAATATTCGTTTTACTACTATGTGGCATGTAGTATAAGATAATCTATGATGATACCTACTACATCTATATTTTACGTAGTTAATTAATATATACCTATATCTGTAGTAATGGTTAGAAATTTATATAGTTGTCTTTTATTAGTTTCTATAAATGATGCAATACTTTTTTATTCTAAGTATAATAAAAATTAAATATGATAGCTCATCATGTGTCGTTGCTTGATGCTATACTGCTCATATACAGCCAACATCGTATCTATTATGTGATCTACGCGGCTCACATAAGACGACATATTGATCCACATAATCCTCTACCCACCATCTTCTTTTCTTCCTCTCCTTTCCACCTTCCTCTCTTTTTAAAACAAATCAAGGGTTGTGTACATAGATGAAAATTTCTTCCACCATTAAATTTATATAGCTGTATTTTTAAGAATTTTATGAGTTTCTATACAAGATGTATTTCTCGATTCTAAATTATAAGATGATTTGACTTTTCTAAATACATTGACTTTACTATGTTTGTAGACATAGTGTATAGCTAACTGTATAGCAAAAGCTACGACATAACAAAAAAAAAGCCAAAATATCTTAAAATTTATAAGGGAGGGTGTAACAACTTTTTATTCTAACTAATAAAAAGTTAAATATGCCAGCTCATTATTTGTTGTTGCTTGATGCTATACATCTCATAACATGGGATTCACTTGGCTCACATAAGACGACACAGGATCTACTTGGCTCACATAAGACGACACATCGCCACCTAATCATCTACCCACACCGTCTCCTTTTCTTCCTCTCCCTTCCACCTTCCTCTCTTTTATAACAAATCTAGGGTTTGTGCATATATATATATATATGAAAATTCCTCTCACCATTAATTTTAAGAAATACACAAAGCAATTCTCCTATTCCCACACACCACGCAAAAATGGCCGGAAGTCCTGCCCCACCACCTCCCTTGAAGTCCAATTCCTCCGCGCCTGCATTCAAATCAAACGCCTCGGGCCCAAGCCCCGGCCACGAACCCGCCCAGGGCTCCTCCACCTCGCCAGCGGCGGCAGCGCTGCCGGTCCCCATCCCATCCGATGCGTTGATCGCTGTACTCGGCGTCGTTCGCGAGCTCCGTGCTCGCGGCCTTCTCGCCGGGTTTGAGATCCCGGAGGCCGGGCTCACGGACGAGGGAGCGTCCGCTCTGTTCGACGGCGTCCTCACGGCCTTCCTCGCCGGGCTGGGGGACCCCGCGGTTGCCTCCTGGCTCCCGATCCCACCGCCGCCGCTCGGAGATGGCCGGAAGGTAGAGCTTGTCAGCCTGTTCCTCGCCGTGCGCGCTCGCGGCGGGTTCTCCGCCGTCGCGTCCTGGGCGGCCGTTGCCGAGGCGGTCGGGCTTGACCCCACCGCCGACACGGCCGTCAAGCTTTTGTACGGTAAGTACCTTGCGCTCCTGGAGCAGAGCTGCGATAAACACTTAGAGAACAAGATGGTGGTGAGCAGCGGCAATGCCGACCTGCTCTTGGGCTCCAAGAAGGACAGGTTCCTGTCGCCGACCAAGCGCCTCACCACCACCAGCGCTGGATCGGCGCACCTGAAGCGGAAGAGAAACGCGCTCGTTGGGATGCTTGACTGGGTTCATCTCGTGGCAAAGAACCCAGGTAAACAAGCAAGGAAGAATCCTGGTGGCCACAAACAGGCAGTGGTTGAACTCCGGCGCCAGATGTTCGCAGACAAAGATTGCCTCGCTTGTGAGGAGCTCGTGGAGATGCTCAACTGGGTGCGCGGTGTGGCGACGAGCGCAGGTCAATCGGGCATCATCGGAATGAATCCTCCTCCAGACCACTTATCGACTGCTGTTGAGCTCAGGAGCCAGATGTCGCTCCCGGGGATGCTCTACTGGGTTCACCTTGTGGCGAGCAGCCCTGCTGAACCGGAGGTCATGGAGGGGAGTTCCCTTAGCTACCGCTCCACAGCGCTTCTGTTTCGGAGCAAGAAGTTTGCAAATAAAAAAGAATACAGCAGGTGGTCTGCTGCCTCGCCGCGGGTAATAATTTATTGCTTCCCTACCTTCATTTTGAATGCATCATTTATACTACTTGATTGATCTGTGCTTGTGTTCATTACACGACTCAGTTTCTTTCTGTTTGTTTGGTTATTATAGCATTTGCTCATTAGATTTTCCTTTCATTCAACTATATATAGCATTTAGTCGTTATATTTTCCTTTCCAGTATAGCATCTGTTCGATTATAGCCCTTTGGCGTCGTCTATATTGACCACTAAGGCCTCAAATTGCTCCTTGACCATCATATAATATATATGTCAATGATTTTGCAACATCAATATTCAATAGTGGACGAGCAATCTTATGGGCCATTGTTTCTTTGCTAAGTAAAGGCTACGACGACCATTGGAAGTGTATTGCATTTCCTCTCTTGTCATTCCAGAAATGAGGTGTCATATTAACACATTGTTCTGGCCTTTTCGTGTACCTCTATACCATACTATCTGAGATGACAGAGAGTTGGGCACCCTGTGCAATGAGCCAATGACAACATGTTTGTTTTGGTGCATGCACCCCTGAGTCTTAGCTATGGGTGGTCTCCCTTGACAGTTGCATCTACTTGCTAATCAAATCTCCCCTATGCCATAAGGGTACCCATAAGACAATACAACATTGTTGTGGGGATTTCACTATTTCGAGTCGTAACTGCTAAGGCTAGGACCTTGTAAATGGTTGTCTAACATTCCAAGGCAAGATGGAAAATACCCACCGCACTTGTCTCCTTTATAATCATTGGGTATACCCTACTGCACAATCATTAGTGACATCTTTACTAGAAGCGTTTTTCCCATGACTATTTTGCTCCTTGGTTTAAGACCAGGACTTGCAGTTTATTGCAATCACTAGGGGATCAACCCAAGGAACGAATAGTTCAAGTGGCTGTAAATAGTGGAGCATTTTTGTAATACTTTCACTATTTTGTCCGTGGAATGAAAGTTAAAGTGTTTTTTGCTATTATCTACAGTACTATATAAGCTTGTATGTGCACAATGAGCTGCACATGACTACACTCGGTGTCCCTTAATGGGTTGCAATGTCTTCCTCACTACCATTACCGAATGTGTTCCCTGAGGTTAGGTATTTACGCACTACTACTATAACCATCAAAACCTTGACCTTTAGGAAAGTGTGTATGGCTGTGCCTCCACACCTAGCCCCAAAGTAGTAACTTCTATCTCTATAAACCCTAAAACAAATTGTTGCCCTACTGTAATGGTTTTTGCTCAAGGTGATGTCTCGCATTTTAGATGTTTCTTAGCTCATCTTTGCCAAGGGATTATGTATTCCATGTTGGGGCATTGAAGTCTTCTCATGACTACCTCCTCGAGCACCACCATGGATAAGGTTGATACATGAGTGATGGGTGGCAAAGATACGAGACTTCTCTTGGCACCTACAAACAAAAGTATAGAATTGTTTGTCCAAGGGTTTATGTAGAACTAATAAATAATGGATATCTTGAGTTGCAAATGGAAGCTCTTTATAGAAGCCTTGATCGGTGATGCTTCAATATTAGCCACTATTATGTTACATGCTATGTTGCACATAAATGTGTAAAGGTGAGTCCTACCTTTCCAAATTTAGCGAGCATATTGCTCGATTGAGTTACTTTTATGGCCTATAATGGCCTTGCTGGTAAATAGTTTGTAAAAGTGACATCTTTCTAGTATACCATTTAAGATTGTGTGGCTGTTTGAATGTATTATGCCGCTAGAACTACTGCACTTTAGTGATCCAAAGCCATATTGGGCTTATCATAGTCAACTAGTTCACAAAGTAGTGTGCATGAATCATCTATCGGTTGCTACAAAGAAAAATTAAGATGTCATGAAGGAGAGCAAGCTAAGTCTCTCATTGTCATTGAAGAATGACGTGTGCAAGGAACTACAAAAACTCCATGGGGGCTCTTCAACATTTTGGTGGCACAAGATGTGATGTCCTACAAGCATCAACTATCCTCAAATTGTGCAAAATGAGGAGGTTTGATAATTTATTGGAATGAAATGCTAAGGAGTCATCGACATCGCTAATTGAATCTTGTATGAAATTTTGCTTGGCAACAAAATCCTATTTGCATAATGGCCTTCGAATACCTGGTTGGCTACATAAACTCTGGAACTATTATGTTAAACATCTCAAGCTTTATATCATCTATCATCTGTGAAAGGACCTTGATGTCGCCTAGGAGGCCTAGAGGGGAGGGGGTGAATAGGCCTGTAAAAATTCAACTCGAAACTCTGTTAGAACAGAAGGCAGCACTGCCGCTCTTCAAAAATAAAGCAGACAACGTTGATATTTCACAGATCGTAACCTGACCCTCTCAGCTGCTTAATCCTACAAATTCAACTCAAAACTCTGTTAGAACAGAGGGCGGCACTGCCGCTCTTCAAAAATAAAGCAGACAGCGTTGAGATTTCACAGATAATAACCTGACCCTCTTAGCTGCTCAATCCTGCAACAGAAAGGCAAAATCCAGTTCGAAGACTGGATACCACAGAAATCTCACACAAGAGAGGATCGAGCTACCAAACTCTAACAACAGCTAGCAAAGAGCTAAACCAGCAAGAACACAAAGTGAAGCACGTGAGACATAAAATTTATCTCGTGGTTCAGCTCGCCACTAAGGCTTGCCTAAGTCCATGTTGTTGAGGTATCCACAAAAGTATTGGCTCGCCACCAAGGCTTACCTTGCCCTCGTTCTCAAATCAAGAGAATGAACTCTTGAAGTGAGGGGTAATTTCTTAGCTGTAGGATGAGGTTATAAACCTCCCAAGGCTACCATACGAGTTGGCAAGCACAAGGGGGATGCCTAGCCGGCTAGGAGCAAGCTCCAAGAGTAACAAACCCTAGAACCGCCGGCCAAACGTGAACCAAATGCTCTTATACTTTGGGAATCAGTGGATCTGCTCTCCAATCGAGTTTTGCTGCCTTTTCTCTCAAGTTTTGATGGTGGAAATCAAGGATTGCTTGGGAGCTTGAAGGAGCAACAATGGAGGAGAGAGAGATGAGCTTTGGTCTGTTTAGTTTCGAACTGAACCGTTGGAGAAGAAGGCTCACCGTTGTGGGCCGGCCCAAATGGTATTTATACCTCTTGGGTCCCAACGGTCATTTATGGGCGGCACTGCCGCCCTAACCAAAACAGGTAGAATCAGGAGATTTTTGGCTGGCTGCTTTGGTTGAGTAAGAGGATGTAGATCTGTAGTTTTGAGCATCTGATTGCACAGTTGACCAACTGTACTAGAATCCCTCTTTATAGAACGGTTTTTCCTAAACTCAAATTCAAAGCTGTCGATGTTTCACCACCGATAGCCTGCCACGGGGGTCCTCGGGGCAGTATTGTTTGGGCTTCAGCGTATGCGGAACTCGACGGTGAACGCAAGAGACAATCGATTTATCCTGGTTTAGGCCCTCGACTGTGGTCAAGTAACAGCCCTATGTCCAGTCGGCGTTAGCCTTTGCGTTTGATTGATTGTGTTGTAGAAATCCTGATCTCCCTTCTCTAGGAACCCTGCCCTCCTTTATATAATCAGGAGGTCAGATTTCTAGTCGGTTTACAATGAGAGTTCCTAGTAGGATTACAAAATAATACTACTACTAAGATTACATGGGGAGAATCCTAGTTAGACTAGATCTTCTCTCTTCCTTGCGGGGTATCCTGTGGGTCCCGCATCGACAAAAGCATAAAAGAATGTAAATGCCTTTGAGCTGGTTGCCACTTCATTTGGCAATTGAGAACTTCTATTATCGAATATGTTTTCCTCATTCTTATTATACCTTGATTATGTGACTTGAACCATTTCCATACATATGAGTTCACCTTCATGGCTTCAAGTCACTTCCACTAATAATTTAATTCTCAACACAATATGACTCCTCATAGCTTGATTAGTACCTTGACTCAATGCAAGTACTCTCTTCTTCACCTTAGCCATGGTACCTCGGTCGCCAAGCCGTCGCTTGCCCTTCACCTTCGCTTAGTACCTCGAAGCCCTTTCCTTGCTATCTTCACCCTATCAAGCCATACTTAAGTCACATTATATTAAACATCCATTGAAAACCATTTCTTCAATATTTTGATCCTTGCTTGAATATTTTTTAGATATGAATGTTGAGATCAATCAAGCTTCAGTTTGTCTCACATAGAGACAAACATGGATCAACATCAATATGGTCAAGCTAATTCACGATTCCTTATTCCCTTCTCATTTTGGCTTGACATTTTCAATTGATCTTTCATATATTCATCCATGTAAGCAAACCAATGTAGAGACCAACTTATATCCACTATACATTGTCATTTACCAAGTATGTTTTGCTTTCACATGATGCTATGATATCCCACAACATAGAAGCCATTTCATTGATTTCATTTGCATTGTTGTCTTTTGCTTGAACTAGATTGCTTCCATAAACTTCCAATACAACAATACATAGTTTGACATTCACTTTAACACAATGTGGCATATCATCAAGTTTGCCTACTAGTTGAACCTTGTATATACTTGTTAATACACAACCCACAAGTATATGCAATAGACTCAATTTCTTGTTCAACACTTAGCAAACTTATTAGACCTTTAATTGTGTTGTCATTCAATTTACCAAAACCCACTAAAGGGCTAGATGCACTTACAATCTGTCATGTGATGTACAATATAGCAAAATTTATGGAGTTTATAAGCAGTGTTTACAAGTTGCCCAGTTAATTAAGATTAATCATGATTAATCTAAGTGATCGGTCCCTAGCCTCCAATTAGGTCCACCGACCTGATTTGGTCGACCAATATTCAAGTAGTCCAAGTACATAGTCGTTGCCTAATCATGATTAATCGAACGATTAGGGAGGAGATGACCAGGTTTGTGTTGCTATCGGGCTGTCCTTTCCCCGTGGGCTTGGTTTGGTATTCCAATTTGTCCCATTTGGGTTATCCTTGAAGGAGAATGAGCCTCAAGGGAGAGAAGCCAAGCGTCATGCCAATGCCTAGTCCACGATTTCTCATGCTCATGCCATTGCACATCTGCTTGAAGCCACCACAGCCAGATCCCTTCATGTCATGGCCAACGCCCTTCATCCGATCACCACTGGCTCTCTTAGTTCCTCCGGGGGCCTCCCATCATGAAGCACCGACATATTTAACCATTGGGATTTCGTCCCCTGCAACCACAAGAGCATGGCATAGACCACATGGTTCAGACGCTGAGCTACATCACCCCGGACCCCTTCTTCTCCACTTCTAACAATTAATGAAGTGTTTTCATGGCATAGACCACATGGTTCCAGTGCCCGTTGAAGTCTCCATTAATTCTCTTGAAGTCATATGTTGCCTCCTTAATTTCTCTTCATAGAACTATATTTTGTTGTTAGTGGTGACAAGCTAGAGAGAGACAGAGATTCAACGAGGGAAGACAACAGTTGTGTGTTGTGGTCAAGGTAAAAGTATAGCTTGGGTTCTAATTAGGCTCGATTGGGCTATTATAGGTCGAACCATGTTGGCCCAACTATATATGGCATCTAGATTCATTATCCCAAACATTCTTGATTAGGACCCACTTCTCATTGTACCTTGTTTTTTGTTTGTCGCATCTCATATCCAACATCCCCATTCCATCTCCTTAGTGACTTTGATGCATTTGCTTTTGCTTTTTTTGGGAATGATGCATTTGCTTTTACTGAAAAGTTAGACATATGCATACAACTATGGTAAATATTTTGAATGTGCTATAGTTACACCATGAACGTAGTACCTATTATTCGCAAACATTATAGTGCTTTGTGCAGTTACAATTCAATTTTTACAAATTTTACTCTCCATTTGAAATTTTAAAGACAATAGGTTGTGAAATTTGGAATATGAGTTTAGATAATTCGTTGTGATAAATATAACTTATTTTCTAAAAATTCAGTTATATAATTTCATACTGTGGTTGAAGCGAACCATGTTTCTATTCCACTTTACACTTATCATAATTATGAACATGTTGGAGGGATATCTCTCTACCATATGTGAACTCTTTTGGTGACCTGATGACTTGGGGCCATGAAGACTCATCACCTCGGAAACTTCTAGGGATGGTCCTAAAAAACCCAAAGGATCAAAACCCTTATGGTGTTTAGACACCCATAGGATCCCAACCTTCGGGATGCCTTTAGACTTTGAAGAAAAAGTTAACAAAGAAATCCCAAGGCGCACAATGTGACACGTCAACATAACGAGTGAACCGGACCAAGCGTATGATATCAATAACTTTGTTTCTCTTATATTAGACAAGTTTACCCTCATTAAACCTTCAGTCAAATTCTCCAACCCCAGGATATCAACATCTTTACATGGCCTCCTCCAAGGTCTACAAATACCCTATATAACCCTCTTATTAGGGCAACTAATATTGAGACATAATATATAACGGTCACATTGGTAACACCAAGAAAGCGCTCTTGTTCGGGTAGGGGAGCTCGCAAAGGGGACTAGGGTACCTCCCGGAACTTGAACCAATATAAATCTCATATGCCATTTTTTATGCTAGGATACAAGGCTTGTCAAATGACCAACCTTCATCACTCATGTTTGTTTGCAACAGTTGAGCACAAACCCATGATCTAGTTGTTTTCCTCTGATTGTCTATGCATGCCTGTTTGTGCATCCATGTTGATGCATCGGGTTAATGTTACAAACTTTACACTTTGTTAACTTCGCTAACCTTTCAAAAACTATAGAATTCAAAGAGGTGACAATAGAGAAAAGGGCAATCATAGATGTAAAGTTATTTCTCTTTAGAGTATTTGCTCGACATATGAATCCAAAGATATAGTGCATGACGACAATGGATTATATCAAGTTTGTGTTTGCATCTTTTGAAATGAAAAATACAAGTCCATGATTCTTTAATCGTTTAGGGATGCTCACTTGTTTATCCATTAATGCCCCTGGATCCAAGATTGTAACTATGGTAACTTTGTTAACATTCCAAAAATCATGTTGCATTTTATGGAAATAAAAAAGTACTAGAAATACGATGTGGTGTTACAACCTGCATTAGTTCTGTTAGGTTTATGTCTGCTTTTTTTTAATATGTTTCAAGAGATGAATCTAGTTGAAGTGCACAAACCTTTTCTTTTCACATGTAAGTCAAAATATTATGGTTTACTAGCCAAAAGTAGGTTTTTACTGTTAGCATTTTGGCCTCAAACAAGTAATGTAGTTGTTGTACTACAGTCTCCTGCATGGCCACCATAGCAAACATTGTGATGTGATGGTACAGTCAATTTGTTAGATTTCCTAGCCATCCAGAAATCTCAGTTCAACACTAGGAAAATATAAATAACTTTGTTATTTAAAATTTATTTGTTGACTCTGTATTATTTGCTAACGTCATTTAGCATGTTCCGATATTCCTTCAGCCACATGGTTTCAGGGTGGTATAACAAAATGCTTCAGCACTATGCTTCCTGTTCATGGTCAAAATTGACACCAGGAGTAGTGTTCGTGTGCGAACACTTCCTCTACACTTTTTAAAACATCAATATTGGTGTACTATTATTGCTAAATACAACTGACACATGCATTTTTTAGGTAACAAATGAGAAGACTAGACTAAACAACATGGTTGTTTGTCTAGGGATGTGTCATCACTACATTGCATTTAAAATTTGGATTTTTTTTCATGATATAAGTGGTTAATTAGACACACTATACACATTTCAATTGAGGTTGAGCTGAAATGGGGGTACATTTCAATTACCTTTTACTGGCTGTTTGCTAGATTCTAGATCCTATTGTTAGCGAATTGTGCATTTATTTATTTTCTGCCATTTTGAGGCACTTCAATCCTTCCTGTGGTAACAGGATGGTGATGCCTAATGAAAAGGTTGGTTTGTTTTATTCTGTACTATGCCAAGTATTATAGGGCATGTTTGGGACTGCGGCGGGGAGGCCGCGCGGTGCGGTATCGGTACCACGGCCTCCCGCCTGTGGCACGGGAAACGTGAGTCCTAGTTCATTTTTGTGGTGGATGTGTCTCGCGCGGTGAAAACAATCGACGATTATCAAAGGTTGATTGGTGGGATTATTTTGATTCTCGCGGTGGAGCAGCCGCAGATCAGATTATAAACTGAAACAAACATGCCCATATGCTTCTGGTATATTGTCACAGTATACTAGATTTATACCTTGTGAACTTCAATTGGCTTGTATAGATAGTTAACTGTCCTTGTTGTATGTCTGGCTACTTGAGCTTTTGTTGCAATTCTGCTTACAGACTACCTACATATGCGCTGCTTGTCATATGTCCTTGCAGTTACCAGACTGCTTTTCATATGTGGCTGAAATATCTTTATCTTTTATGTAATCTTGTTGCTGTCATGCGTAAGTGCCAATTTGTGCTGGCCTATAACACTAACACATTATACTCCTTGTTCATGCAGAGTGGAATTCCACCTCGTCCTTGTGGCCAAGCAGACATTCCAGAATGGACTAGGAAGCCTTCATCGCCTTATGATGATGATCCACGCACACTGAGGTTTCTTGGAGAACCTATTCTGCTTCCAGGAAGTACTGAAGATCCTGATGGTGCTTCCATTGGAAAAGGGAGGCAAGATGACTGCAACTGTGAGTCCCCAAGTTCCATTGATTGTGTCAGGTTTCATGTGGCAGAAAAAAAGATCAAACTGAAGCATGAGCTGGGCTCAGCATACTTTGAAATGGGGTTTCATAGGATCGGGGAAGATTTAGCACTAACATGGACAAAGGATGAGGAGAGGAAATTCAACACCACTATCCAGGACAGCTTGCCTTCATCTACGAACAAGTTCTGGGACAAGTTGCTTGCCGTCTTGCATGACAAAGGCAGAGAAGGCCTTGTGAGCTATTACCACAATGTTTTCCAGGTCTGGCGACGGGCCTACCAGAACCGCCTGGCTCAAAATCCTGATAGTGATGACGATTCCATAGAGCCTGGTTTCCTATACATTCGTCAACGTATAATGTGTTCTGGTTCTTCCAGGAAGCAGAGCCGCTCCAAGTCAGCTGGTTCTTCCAGGAAGCGGAGGAGATCTTAGGAGGATCTGTTTGATTCTGAATTTCTGATAGGTGATTATTGCCTATCATGCATCGGTAGCTCTAGATCAGCTACTTCCTGTTGAACTCAAATGATATTATATTGTTGGGGCTGTACTCACAAAATTGGTGATAGGTAATGGTAGACTTCTGTTGGGGCCTAATTACCTTTTATGTGAATAGCCGTGCTGGTGGTTTGTTACCGCTTTGTTGCTCGAATGTTAATGCCGTTGTGTTGACATTTAGGCTACCTCGAAGAAGGTAGATTCACTTTTATATGACTTTCTTGGATGAATGCAATGTTTAATTGCTTTTTGGTTCACGCTTTCTCCCAAGGATGTGAAATACACATATTACATCAAGGAAAACTTGATATCGATATGTTTACAATGAAGGATGGTATAGTGTCTTGTTGAAGCAAGGCAACAGATGAAGATAAGGCCTTATTTAGCATGGCTTTGGTTCTCTATGGATACTATAGCTACACTACTGTAAGAATCCTTTCATCCCTCTCCTCACAATACGCACCACCCCAGTAGAGAAGCTAGTTTGGTTTTGGGGCTTCACCTGAGTAGTGGAACTTACCAAACAAGACCTAAGTATTGCTGCCAACCGGAAATTCTGACCATATTTGTTCTTAATTACAAATTTTTAGCCGTATCTATGTCCGTGTGCATTTTGCTCTCCATACACTGCTACAAAACCAGCCAGTACTGCAGGATTTATTCTGCCAATGACTAAGCGACGGGTGTAGAATCTGCAGTATCATGGGCTACCACTGTCGGGTTATGGCACCAACCGTCAGCGACAAATAACTAGGGGTGAAAATGAACGGGACAAATCACGTACCGACCATTTTCTTTTTTTCTATATTATGATACCATTTTTTACCATTTTCAAATGTAGCCAAACACAAAATTCAGTTATTTTCAACTGGTTTCACAACCATTTTTTGTATTCAATAATTTCACAAATATAGAAAAATCCTTTATTGATCGTTTTGTAATACCATTCTGACCATTTTCACCCTAGCGACAACCCATGTTTTGTAGCTATCTCTAGACATCAACCGCCAAAGACAACATCAATCTCACTACCGGTTTTAGATACAAGCCCCCGCCTCTCCCCTCCCCCCGAGGATGCAACACACAAGTAGCACAACAATGATTCAGCTTAGACACAGAGCACAGTGACTGAGCAACGATTGAACTTCTTTTGACCGCGAGTCCTCAACGCCTTAACCTTGTGTCGTCACCTGCTGCCCACCAGTTCTGACTTTCGAGTCGCCACGACGCTGCCAGGCCCCAACTCGACCGACATGCAATGGCCAACAATCAAGGCACCAACGGAAGGAATGGAAACTGCAATCTGTAGACGTCTGCATGGTGATCAACTCGGCTGAAGTGAAGGGTAGATAGCCAATTGTCATCGCAGCATCCCACATTCATGATTCATGATTTTTCTAACAAATTGTGTAGTACTCATTAGTCATTAACTCATTATTCAAGTTGCTATTGTGAGGCAGCAAGCCAGCAACTAGCAAGATAGACCGCATGTCCTAACTATATGGAAAGTCTAAAGATTATATTATTTTGTCTTGTTATATTACTTTTACAAACTAATTATTTCTCGAAATTTCAGGGAGTGAGAAAAGGAGAAAGAGAAAACGAGTTAATGAGTTAATAAAATCAAAGCGAAGGTCCATGAATATTTTTTAAAGAGTAACACAAGCACTTCAAGAAATCTAGAGGAGTTGGGAGGATCCAACTATCATTACTCCAAAAGATGAGGGTCCCACATAAGACAACATTATTGGTATTAATCTAGAAGATGAGGGCCCTACAAAAGACACTGTTGGCATCAACATGGATGAAAACTACATGAGTCATTGTTAGAGACCTATTCTTACAAGCACAATATATGGCGAACACACCAAGGAAGCACTTGAACGTCCTCCTCCTTGGCCACCACCTTACGAGGCCAGCATGGACGTCCAAGTTAAGTTGGAGGCTCAGTCCACGTCAAGTTCGAGTCCATCTCGGACTCTAGGAGCAGCCTGTAGTAAAACGGATACCCCGCACTTATACAAACTCCGTTTTCGATGCTCCACCTATCAATGAAAAGCTAATTTCATAATCTAACCAATGAAATTGATCCTAGATCAAAATTCCTTTGAATCAACAAGAATCATCGAAACAAGTTGATGTCTAGAATCTTTTAGGGTGCTACGTCGCCGTCTTTTGAGCTGTTGGGCATTACAACGCGTTGGGACACCTAGGGACGTGAATAGGGGTCCTTGGACCCCGCTTTTAGACTATATAATCAGTAGCAACCACTCATATTAGGGTTTGGGTTTTGCTTTAGATCAATCATTGAACGGTCGCCGCTATGAATCTAATGTTCCTAAGCAAGATAACATCATTAGGTAGTAATCTATTTTCAAAACTATGAAAATGATCGTTTAAGAACGAGCTCACCTTTAAATTTAATGGTCGCATTCGAGTTCGGGTCATTGGACCTTGTATAATGGTTGGAGGATCAGATGGTACATCTGAAGGAGTGATGTCCTCAACAGGAATTTCCAAGAGAATGCTATGCAACAGCTGTAGAATTTCCTTGCACCTCTATTGATTCTTGGCCTGATGTTATCATCCATGTCATCTAGCACCGCAGACCAGAAGCAGGTGATTACTTATTTCCTACTTTGTTAACTCCGTTGGGAATAGTTTTGCAAGTCAATAGTTTCATTTGTTCCTTTCCTGATAAGCTATGTTTGTTGGGCTATGTTTAGTCCCCTAAGAAGTGGTAATCTATGTATGTTTTCTGTTCACACTTGCATAATTTGTTCATGTCAAGTCGGAATATCCCATGGTGAGATTTATGTATTGTTCCTACATTTTAACTTTTTTTCTTTATGGTATTGCCTTAGATTGAAAATATGAATGCTTAGAAATACATTTAGAGTCTGATTTCATAATATGATGCTTGGTATGGAATCCCATAGCCTTCGATTGATACATTTTGGTTATTTGATTTGCACAATAGCGTTAGCACGGGCAATGAAGCAGTGTATCTAAAACAATTAAAAACAACTAATAATTTAGAATTTAGAATGAGGAAGTAGTTTTTTAAGGTTTAATCATTTTTCTGAAATGGTATGTTTTTATGACAAACAACGATGTTTAATAGAACTATCTGTTACCATTATTCGACGAAATCTACCTTGGTTGTATCAAAAGAATCATTACAATTTGCATTCTTCTTTGACATTAATAATTTTCTATTCTACACATTGTAAAACAAATTCTTCGCGCTCCAAACAGCTTACAAGTATTACAATTCGGGAATTTTCGAAAGCAGGCGTCCGTGTGCCCGGACGCTCCGTTGCTGGGCCGTGACTCTAGCCCAACGACCGCCTCTTATCTACTCATCCATTCGCCACGCAACTGTTCTAAAAAAACTCACCTCACTACAGCACCGCGACAGCGCTCCACAACCTTGCTCCGCCACGCCGCCTCGGCGACCACGCTCTCCATAGCGCCTCCCTCTCCATCGCGCCTCCGCTCCGCCGGCTGACATCTCCACCGCGCACAAGCACGCCAGCCGGTCTTCCTCCCTCACCACTGCGCCTCCCGCCCGCTGCGTCCTTCTCCACCAGACCTGTCGTGGCCTTCTCCATCGGAGTGGCGAGCTCTACACCGGTGAACTCCACGCGCCGACGAGCCTCCATTCGTAAGCAGCAAGGAGATGTTGCGTTGAAAGAGCATGTTGCAAGTCTATGTTTCAAGTGTTTAAGATGTTTTATAGGTACGTTGTAAGTATTTCATGTGGATGTTGCAAAACTAGATCGGGATGTTGCATATGTTGCAATGGTTGTACATGTATGTTGCAAGCTTCTGCTTCTAATGTTTCATCTATTTTTCGGACGTATGTTGCAAGTGTGTTTATTTGGATGTTGCACATGTGTTCACACATATGCTGTAAGTATTTTATCTAGATGTTGCATATGTTTTACAAGTGTTTTTTCAAGTATTCTTTGCAAATGTTTCAGATGCATGTTTTAGGTGTTTAATCTGTATTCATATGTATGTTGCAAATGCTGCATCTGAATGTTTTAAAAGTACATCGGGTGTTGTATCTCCCTCGTCGCCTTCTGCTGTCTCGCCTCAGTGTCTCCTTCTCCCGATGTCGGCTCGGCATCTGAACCAGAGGTGCATGCTGGCGCTGCCCCCTCCTCTTCTTCTCGATGCTGGTGACGTTTGGGGCGGCGCGGGCCTCTGCGTGAGGTGCGCGAAATAGAGTGTAGGCACGGGCGTTCGGATGTCCGTACACTATCTGCCAATTACAATTTGCAACCTGCTCAGAAGATGAATATTTTTCTTCCTCCATACGTATTTGTATATAATATAAAACAAAAATGTATGCGTTCCAAATACTAATAAGCATGATTTCCTCAGGCGATATACGGCACATTATCCACGAAAATGGACGTGCAGCGCGCTCCGAGCACACCTATGAGGGACCCTATGAGTGTACCGCCAAGAGGTCCCCGTGAAAGGCGTCCTCCTATGGTGGGCGGCCACGCGTCTACATCGGCAGCTGTGAAAAGCTGCCAGCACACGTCTCTCGCACACCATCACTGTCGCTAAGTTATGGTTGAAAGTAATGTTGACTGATTTGTTGTAAAAAAAAATACGGCTCGTTGACTGAAAAAGTATAGCTCGAAAGCCGAGCGACAGGGCGAAAGCAGGCGGCGGTTTTCGCCGGCTCCCTCCAACCCTTCATCACAGTAACAACGAGAGGAAAACACACGCAAATTAACCGGCGCCAGATCTCGCCGCCCTCTCCGTTAACAAACCACCAACCACCCGCCACTTCTCCGGTTCGCCGCCGCCTCACGCAGCGCAATCCCTCCTCCCAGAGCAAAAATTCCGAAAGGACCAGTTATATATTAGATAGTAGGTAAAAAAGACGCCATTGGATCACCGGGGGAGGGAGGCGT